GCAGCAGCTTTCGGCTGCCCCTGGCTGCAGGCGAGCTGCGGCAGCCAGCTCTGCGCGGAGCCTCATGTCTCCACAGGACCCAGGTTCATCTTCCCACATCTACCTTGAGGCTGGAAAGCTGGGCCGGAAAGTATGGTTCCCACCAGGCACCCTTCTGCACCCAGCACCCTCGTCACCTGCCAAGAGATGGACAGGGTGAGCCAGCAGCATCCGAGCTGCCCCCCACCCACCAGATGCTCCCAGGAACAAGCCAGGGGCACAGCTCTTCTCCACTTCCCAGGCTGGGGATCCTGGCTACCCAGAGGCACAGCATCCCCATTCAGTGTCCAGCACGGAGGTTCCCCACCGTGCTGGGACCCTAGGATGCACCCGCACCCTGCCAGCAACAGCATGCACCTGAGGCAAAGAGGATGGTCAGGCCCCGGGCGGCTGCCTTCATGAACTCCATGTTGACACGCTCCATGTAGGCTAGTGACAGGCTGTCCTCGTCATCCCCGTAGCTGACGGAGTGCACCCACGGCAGCGATGACATGTTGCTGAGCAGCAGCAGCCAGGCCAGGAAGGGCTCCTGGCTCTCGTGCCTGCCTGCAGAGACACGGGAGGGGGGCAGGTTCAGCCTCAGCTAGGACACCAGGGTTGAGGGAAAGTGGGGGATAGCACGGAGGGGCACCATGCCTCAGCAGCACCACCAGCACCAGGAGCTGAAGGTGCTCCAGCTCCTGCCCTGCCTACAGAGAGCAGATCCACAGCACAGCTGGTTTGGAGCTCTCCCGTGAGCTCTTGCTGGCAGCATGGCTGATCTCGGGGACTGTCACAAGGGATGGCACCAGCCTCCAGCTCTGCCAGTGGGTCTGGTGAAAGGGTCACCCTGAACCCCAGGGCAGGGGGTCTACACTCCTTCATTCATCTGAGCATCGTCGCAGGGCTGTAGCCACCCTTGGCATCCAGGCAGACACGGAGCCCTTCTGAGACTCAGCCAAGCCTTGCCACCTCTACCCGTAACAGTGGGTCCCAGAGCAGGCTGATGCACATTCCACCTCCATCTGCCAAGGTCCTTCCTGCCCCTCATCCCCCTCCATGAGGTGGGGAGAGCAGAGCCCCAGCCACCCCTTCTCACTCGCAGCTGCTCACGTAACTGCCTGCCTCTGCACCCTTTCCACGTCACTAACTGCACGGAGGAGGTGGAAGTTAGTGCAGCGCTGTGCCTGCCTTCACCACCATGAAGACAGCGCTGGTAAGTCCTACAGCCACTCCGTCTCCTGTTCAGCCAGCTTCTGATCTGGGACAGATGACACTTTGCCCTACAGCACCGTGGCAATGTTTCTGCAGGCTGTTTTGCAACCTTGTCTTCTCAAACTACTTTACTCTCCTTTATCCACTCTACAGGTAGATTCATGGGCGAGAGATCAGCTTCAACCCCAAAGGAGGAGGAAAAGATAATAAGGCACAGTTGCTCTGCTCGCCCTCCATGGAAAGGCAGCAGAGTGGAGTGACAGCTTTACATTGTGCAGTTGAAGTGTGGAAGTTCCTGCTACGGGATACTCTGGATGCTGAAAGTTCACACAGGTTCAAAAGCAGTTACACAAATCAATGGAAGATGATTTCCCTAGGAGCTATTAGAAACCAGCATCAGCTCCAACATTAGAAGCCCACAAGGTATGTGCCCGTAGGAGCTGGGAAAGCATTCTGGGGAGGTACCACAGCCAGCGTGCTGTTCGTGCACGCCCCTCCAGGCGTTCCCCTTTGACAGCTACCAGGTAGACTCAGTGCAGCCATTTTCAGGCCGAGAGCAAGGGTTTCCCTAAACAGCAGGCAGATGTGTTGGTGCTACAGCAAGTGAGATGCATGGAAGTGGTCACAGGGCAACTCTGGAGGAGAATCAGTACCTGCGTTGCTGAAGACCCACGTAGAGATGTTGGCACCCGTGCTCATGATGTATTCCACGTCCAGACTGGCCTCCAGCCCAGCCTTGCCCTTTCCCTGGTGCCCAACCACTTGGTCAACCTGTGAGCGGTGGCCAAAGCTGCTCCCAAAGAGCTGCATAAACTCAGCCAGGTCGGCCTGGTGGAAATACTGTTCCAAGAACTGGGGAGACAAAGAGTGGACAAGTTTTTTTCCCAGTTTCTCTTGAAAGAACAAGGTAAGTTTTTTCTCCTGACTTAGAAAGTTGGCCCAGCATGGGTCTGTGAAACGCCAGCCCACCAGGTGCTCCCATCAGCCGCCAAGGAATCCCCCCATCTGTCCTGGGACCACCAGAGCAGCAAAGTGCTGGAGAAGGACCTCCACACTGGCATGTGGAATTCCCTATGGCCTCTGACCTGGACCGGCTTTACCAGTTACCTGGGCACAGGCCTGGCTGTTGTTTGGCAGCAGCCCGATGTCTCCTCCTGTCATGTTGTATCTCTTACGAATGATGGAAGGTGTCACGCCCAGGTGGAAAGCCGCTCTCCCTTCCTCCTGCTGCCTTGACTCCGTTTCCTTCTTGGCCCAGGCTCTGCTGACCACCTTTCTCTCCACAGGGAACCGGTGCAGGCCACCCACTGGTGCACAAGCAAGCAGGAAAGGAAGCAGCCGTTAGGGCCCAGAGCTCCAGGAGGACAGTAATACGGCCCTTTGGCTCCCCCTTCACATCCTCACTCAGGCCTCATGTCCAAGCGGGCTGGCCTGCAGCAGGGCTCAGAGGAGCCCATCCCCTGCAGCACCTGCCCCGAGCACTGCACAGGCGGTGGACAAGTACTCCTTCGGCTTCCCTGCCAGTCCTCACAGATATTCCCAGGCTGCACAGCTCGTCTCCCCACTGCCAGGCCACTGCCGCAGCTTGGCACCCCTCTGCTCTGCTTTTGGAATGGCCGTGGGAGCCCACACCAAAGGGACTCACGGGAGGGAGTTTATCCACCTCAGACGCAACTGCAAGTCCACAGAGACTGCACCCGAACTCTCCGCACATAGCATCCAGGCCCCAGCACCAGTAAGAAACACTTACTTTGGATGCTGCCTGTCCACATCACAGAATCAGAGGATGCTTTGGGTTGGACGGGACCTTTCAAGCCCATCTAGTCCAACCCCACTGCCATGAGCAGGGACATCTTCAACTGGATCAGGCTGCTCAGAGCCCCGTCCAACTCAGCCTTGAATGTTTCCAGGGATGCGGCATCTACATCCTACGCACAAAGCTTCTTGGGGGGCCTAGGGGTGGCTGGGACCATGGCTGGAGGGCCTGCCACACTGTCCTCCAGGACACCAAGATGGCCAGTCCCGGCTGCTAGGTGCTTAACCTCACACCAGGACCCCAGGCAGCGAGAGCGCTGGGCAGCCTCAGCTCCCGTGTCAGACGTACCAAAGTCCACGTGCTCAGCCAGCTCCTCGGGGACAGTGTAGGGGAGCGGGGAGCGCACAACACTGCGCTGGCCCTTCACGTAGCGGTGGAACTCAGCCCCTGGCAGGAGGTGCTCGGCTGTGCTGCAACACAGGGACAGCCACCGCGGGAGGATTCGTGCTGCTGGGACAGCTAACAGCGTGCCTGTCTAGCAGCATGCCCGCTCTCTGCCTTGCCTCCCGCACCTTTTCCACCTCACTTGCTGTTGGGACGAACCAGGGATGAGCTCCACTTCCCACCAGCACAGCTGACCTCGTCAAGCAAAGAGCACCTTCCATACCCGACCAATTCCCACCACCAAACCGAACCAGAGCTCTGATGCTGCCAGGTCCCCTGCAACTCCATCCCCAGTCTTCCAGCGGGGACTCTGCAGCCCCACAGAAGGCACGAGGAGGTGTGGGGCTGGCCCAAGCACCTAACGGATACGCATGCCTGGTTTCCAGCACTCCAGCTGACTGGCTGTGAGTGCCCCCAGCACCAGGACCAGGCACACAGGCAGCCAGGTCTTGGCTGTGGAGCCCTCAAGCCCAGGCAGAAACGCGGCTGAGCCCTCCATCACCCTGACTGCACTGCAGAGCCCTGGGGAAGCGGAGATTGCAGCAGGCTGGGGCTGCTTCTGTCTTTGTGGGAATGGCACGGCCACCCCGGGGGGGCCCAGCCCGCCCCCGGCGCTCACCTCGCTGGCATGCGGCACTCCAGGAAATCGAGGGTGGTAACGCTCCTGCAGGTCTCAACACCATGGCCTTGCAGCCACTTCAGCACTGCCATGAGCGTGGCTGGGGACGGCTGGACGAGGTCCCGCACCTGCTCCAGGGACAGGAACTGGCCTGCGAGGCACGGAGAGGGTCAGCGCACGCTGCTTCCAGGGCCCGGCGGGGCCCGGCATGGCTCAGGCACGCAGCCGTTACCAT